AACAAGACCAAGTTGCGACAACGAGGTCAACCCACTTCTATGGATTCTTGGTCTAATGATGTCTGCCACAGAACAAGCGAAAGCTTAGCACATGTTCATCAGGGTCGTAGGACGATGAGCCGAGGACTTATTCATACAATTGAACAATCTTCACTCCGCGGCAATCCCCATTCGGTTCCCAGTGAGACCATTTCCCGAACTCTTTCCAACCAATTTGTCCCTAGAAATGGAAAGTCATATCACCATAAATCATCATAGAATTTTTCGAAGCCCAGTTTTTCTCTTATTTTTTATAGTTGACAGTATGCTATTAGGGTCCTGCTGGTATACTATCAACTCAGTCAGACGCGGTAGGATAATAAAATGCTAGTGTTCAGATTACTATAATTCTAGGAATGAATTAATTTATTGCGAATGTAATTCGAAATGATTTTGATAATTTCTTTTTGTCAACTTAAATACTTGTGCATCGTGAAGAGGTCTCAAAAGGTACATCGCGATGTACATCGTTGTTATTTTGTACAATATATTGCAGAATTGAATTACCTTGAGATTGTAACATATCTCGTGAATAATTTTAAATGCAGCTTGACTGACTGGCTGGCCTGTTTGCCCTTGATTTAGTCAACTCAACTTTCAGGTGTACTAGCTTTACCATGCTGAAACAAAACTGAGGCTTGGCTCAGCTCTGGATGAGAGAGCATTTTTTTGTTACAACACACAAGGACACTTTTGGGAAATATTGATAATTGAAATATTTATTTGAACCTGCTTTTCAGCTTAGCCGTCTTCACTGAGTCTTTGGAGAACGTGCTCTATGAACATTACACAGGAGACAATTCGACAAAAGTGTCTTTGTTCGTGAATTCAACGAGTTTTATTTCCGAATAAGTATTACATTCGGCACTGACGAAATTGGTTAAGCTGCCAGCGAAATATTTGTGAATACACCAGATCACTGGTCAGATATCATAAGTCCAGATCAAGTATACCAGTTCTATATCAGTTACTGATAGTTTCCAAACATATCTAATAAGTATACACAGCGAAGGGAGACATTGAATCTTAATTCTATCTTTATTCTAATTCCATAAATGTACAAAACTATTCAAACGTCGCCGATTTCCAGTTTATAATTAAATCAAAATTAGACATTCTTTGATTTTGCCTTCGTAATTTGCTAGTATTGTCAGGAAGACCTAGAGGAATGCATTTTTTCAAGAGTACATATTATACATGATCGTTCCCAAGTCCACGGTCCAATTCTGGAAATTATTATGCATACCATGGACTCCGGACAAAATGAGCTCCTCTAGGTTTTCCTGACAATACAATCGAGTTGACAAAAAGAGGTAAAACAACTTCTATACAACGAAAGGAGGTTGCGACCGTACCAAGAGCCACACCATGTTAAATAAAAATTAGTTTATATTCATATAATTAATCATCTTCTTTGCTACCTTTTAATTTTGACTTTGGAAAATGCTTGGAATTCAGTAGGCGTACTATAGATTTCGCGGGCATTATAATTCCTTTCATGACTACATTCCTTCATGCATTTAGAAATAATCCCGCAGACCGCTCAGGACGACAATTTGTGGTCTTCATCTATTGCTTCGTTAGACGGCTCTCCAGATCATTCTATGCATGCTGTCTTGGCTTCCAAACATGAAGGGGATACCACCAAGAGCACGGGCTACACTGCACATATAGCATATATCCCGGAATCTTCTCCACAGGTTGATATTTTAGACGGAAATAAGTGTGCAGCAATTCCAACTTCTTATTCCAGTCGTGTATCCTACGATGAAGTTAAAGAGTCTCTCGGCTC